TTCTTACCCTTAAATTATCATTTTAATGGTGTAACCTAATATATTTATAATGTTAAATAAATTTTTTTAAATAAGATTAATTTAGATGTTACCACATAAAGCACATTTTTAGATTATCTTTACGCTTAACGTGGCTTATGCATTAACACTTTAAAAGACCAAATTCAGTTACCTTGATGATGCAAACTATGCAAGCAAGCAGATGAACCTAATATAAACTAAACGTTTATAAACTTTGCGTTCATATTCTGTGCTCATCTTCTTCTTGCCTGTTATTATCTGTAATAAATAAACAAACTGTAGCCCCTACTGAATTAGGTCCTTAGTGCCGTAGTCCATTATGCAACGTTAAGTGTTTTTATTTATGTATTTATTTATCTCATTTATTTACTTTATTTTTTTTTTTTTTATGGAAAATTAGTTTTCCCCGCTTGTTGTTTTAAAACATTCATTTTCTTACTACACGATGTGAATTTTGCTTGCATAATTTATTTTCTACAATAAATTGGCGGTGCTTGTATAGGCCAAATAAGACTTGTTCTGCAGCTTACACCAATTTTATTGAGCCTATATTGTTAAATAAAATAAGTAGACTGGGGCCTAAATGTTTGTGTATTATTATTATTATTATTATTATTATTATTATTATTAGCCTATTGAATGATCCTCCTGCTATTGCTAAAATAACAATCAAATCGGAGCAGCAGCACTTTTATTGCCTCCACGTTCAGACTGAATATTTATTCCTGCGGAGATTTCAGTCTGACTAAAAAGCGATATCAAAATCACTACGCATATTTGTAATGTTATTCAGATATAGAGCCAGTATCGCTCTCGTACTCGAGTGATATTGCTCATATAATATCAAATGCATCAATGCAATAATAATTTTCCACATTCATTACTGTTAAATCAGTTATGTAAATGGGGGAGACAGACTCAGTAGTATATTGCAGCAGGTGCACAATAAATTTTCATACGTGGCATGGCATCACTGCTGGTGGGAGGGGCCCCGTCGCTTTCTTTGCGGGGGGCCTCAGAGATGTGCGGTACGCCACTGACTACACTTTGATAAATTTACAATTATATCACAGTTCTAGTTATTAAATCCTATAGATTTGTCTGTAAAGTAACTTTTTTAGAAAAGTTACTTGATATTGGAAACCTGTTTGATACCAGTCATTACTTTTTAGCAATTTAACAGGCTTTTACAACAACAACAACAACAACAACAAAGCCAACTGGGGTGGCACGAAAAAGCATTGCCATCCCATGTGCCACCCCAGATTTATCCCAGGATAAAATATAAATGTAAGCAGTGTACTGAATTTTAGCAGCTGCGCTTTAATGTGAAGACATAAAAAAGATGTAACAGTTACCGCAAAAAATGGCAAGAAAACACAGCTGCTCGCGCTGTAGTCAACTTCATTACTCTTAAGAACGGCTTCTTTTTGGTGAGTCAGAAACACTAGCACAACCAGTGTAGCCAGGTAGCCCAATTCACAAACAAATGGACTGTTGTTCCATTATTATATACAATATTATTTTCCACAACACTTCTCATCGTTTGTTTTGACTTGCGTCATGTCCACGTGAATACTTATCAGAGCGCTCCACATCATCATGGATAGCCTACATTTGACATCTGATAAAATAAAATGATCCCGATCTAATCTAGACTGACATTTTTTAAAGAACTTCCTGTTGGCTAATTGACAAGGTCTTTTCTTAGGTGGTCGCTATTGCTTGCGTGTTCTGTTTGACCTTTCATTATGCCTACAGACATTCCTACTTAATAAGAAACCACTAAACCTGTTATTTATATATCATCCAAGTAGCCTAATAAACTTTTTACGTATAGAGACATTAGAATGTGTTCAGTGTTTAATAGACAGTGCCTTGGTGCCCTGGATATTGATATTTTGTCGTTTACGGGTCCAAGCACCAAAGGTGAATTTACTCTCTAATGCGTTTATGATGCAAATTCTAAACTAACAGCCATTTCAGCTGAAAGATGAAGATAATTAATTTTGTCCACTAGAGGGAGCCAGAATCTTGCTAGAGGGGCACAGGATAAGGAACCTTTTAATCCCCCCAATTTTTCTATCAGTTGCCATCTCTTTGAATGCAAATAAATGCATAGATTTAGTTCATTTGTTTAAGTATGGTGTACTGACAGTATAGTTTCATATAATCAGTGTACAGTGAAATGTATATCATTAAACATTTAATTTTTAATAGACTCCAATAAAACATATTTTCAAGTTGCCAGAAATGATTAAATATATTGCTATCCATTTAAAATTAAAAGACTATTTTTCAAGATAACATATATTTAAAACATTTCTATAAGACACTTATTTACCATTGTGGTCGAATAATAAAGCAAACATTTAAAATGCCAGCCTTATTAGACATAATTATAAATTATAAAAATGAAAGAGCCTTGAGATAAATAGTTCAGATAAAATTTTGAGCTGCAAATTATATCTTCACATTCATTTGAACTTGACATCCCATGACATGCAATTTGTCTAAATATAAAATGTTGAATATAAGTCCACACTTACACCACATATATTATGATCACATAGCTAATGAGAGTAAACATGTTTATAGGGCTTTTTCTGACTTGTTTAATCAAACCATCAAACTTTCAGTGAAGATTCAAGTTGGACTTTACTGTAAAAACCACATCATGAGATTCATTTCAGTTAGATCGCTAATCATGCACATGGGCCATTGGTGATTGGACGCTGACTATAGATTAAGTATAGATGATTGATTGCTTTGGTGTTGCCACCCTTCACAGTCCTCATGCCACCCCCTTGCCACCCTAAAAATAATTTTCTAGATCCGCCCCTGATAATAATTATGAAACTCCCTCTGGAATTTAAATACATCATATTTCAGAAATCTGAAATATATTATTATTATTATTATTATTATACTATCTTGTTTTATACTACTGTGTCACTGCAATATTATTATCATTATTAATGTTTTTTCTATTAAATTTGTTTTTTTTTTGTAATTAAGGGCAAACGACATTTTAAAGCCCAAAATAAACTTCTCATCACATCTGTTTTGATTAGTTCAGTCTGTGGCCACCAGGCTCTGCACTTCCTCAACTGATACGCACCAGCCAGACAGAAGCAGTCGATCGCAGAGGCCTCCCCACGGTCTCTCCCCTCTTTGTGTTTATGTGTTTTTTAATATCTTTTTTGAGGGAAACTGTCAAGCCCTATCCCAAAGAGCAGGGACCAAAGAGCAAAAATAATGTACGCGTTCGTGCGTTTCTTGGAGGACGACATGTGCTACGCGTTACCTGTGTCAGACGTGAAAGATTTCCAGCCTGTGCACAAAAGAGATTTTGATGATCAGAAGGTGTATGTGGTGCTGAGAGGCGCAGGCCAGCCTGCTAAAGCACACATCCTCGCCCTGGCAGGTGAGTTCTGCCCCTCTCTTCTTATTGACTATAATAATAACCTTCATAAATAACAGTAACACGCATGCTACAGTATATAAAAGCTTAACGGTTCACCAGAAATGTCATGCAACTTTAATATAAATCATATTTGCATGTGCATGAAGTATTTTATGTGAAGCATTATATTATATTTATGGCGTAATATGAAAAGTTATTATTATTGCTAGTATTTTTTTAATATGATATGACCTGCATGAACATGCTTTAACACGCATGTATTGGGGTGTTAAGAGAAAATTCAATATATAATTTGAGTGTTTTGATGTGTTAAATGGATATAGAAGGAGACTGTCATAGATTTGATGTCTAGCTCATCGTGATTGCGGGGTTTGTGTAATAGAGAGACGTAATAATGTCTGTGCTTGACAAGCACAGCAGTCTGAATATAAACTATAGGAACTGCGTGTCGAAAACGTCTGAATAAGTTAGTGAAAGTAGAAACGAAAGAAAAGGGTTTTAATGCAGAGATAGGCTCAGGATGCTAAGCGATTGTTAGCTTGCTGCTAACGCTTCCTTCATTTATCGGCGGTGCATAAAAGCTAAATCGCGGATAAAATCACTAACACTAACAGGCTTTCTAAACTGATAAAAGATACAGAAAAAGCCGATATGATAACCAGAAATTTCAGAATATTAACTGTTTGTTTTTAGCTCAAGCAGTTAGGTTACTGTAATCACATCAGCTAACGTTAGCCAGGTAAGGCTTATTTTGTTTCATTTTTATTTTTACGCCCTTCAATTTGCTTGAAACCTTTCGTCAGTATATTGTACTGTTAAATTATAGCCAGCATAACTTTGTCAGAGAGTTATGTGTGGTTTAAATCAGTGCTGGTGGCACATCTGCTATCATGTGACACTTCCTGCTTCAGCTCAAGTTATGAAAACCTCCAGCCACTTTTACTCCTGCCACTTCAACCAGGACTATTTCAACCAGATATATTACTAATCTACATGTGTGGCTCAACCCGGTCTTACAACCCTGATCTTGTTAGGGACCGAGGTCTGGAGTCCTGTACAGCTTTTAAATCAGTTTGCTTGAACTTAAGCTGTCTGCAATCTGTTGTGGCTGACCTTGAGGCTCATCTCTCATACCTGGCCAATGTAAAACTTTTAATACCTATTTAACATTCAAGATCTTAAAATGGTGATTGAGGGCATTTTCCACTTGACATGATAAGGGGTTAGGTAGGCACATTTATATGGTCTGTCTTCTCCAAGTGGCCTTGGTTACTACACTGCATCACACATTGACAGCTGGGACGACCCCGCCTGTCAAAACCATATTGATGCTGTACCATCAACGTCGCTTTGCAAAGTTAAACGCTCCATTAATAGTTTATTGCAACAATAGCTAGTCATCTGTGTCATTACAAGGTTACTGGGAAACTTCTCCACCAAACTAATAAAATATTCTCTTGCTGATGTGTCCTTGTTTTAACCGTATCATTTCAGAGCAAAGAGATTAAATATTATTTGCGTCTCTGACTTGTTTCCCCTCCTCTTTTTTTAGAAAGCATTGAGGAATTTGAGCGCAGTATTATGCAAAAGAAGATGAAAATACCCAAGGTGTCGAACAGGAACACAGTGGAGAATCATTTTGGTGAGGAGCGAATGCCCCTTAGACATAAAAAGGTTGGTATATAGGTTTTTAAGAAAGGTTTTAAGATTTGGAAGACTGTAAGACATTTGCAGGCTTTCTGTTACTGGTCTGGATTTGTAGATGGGGAACATGTGAACAGATCAGCTATGACTCATTGGGGATTTTCTACTGATATTAAGAGTGTATTTTATATTCCGCAAGCAAAACAAGACAAAATACTAGAACATGTTTTGACACTTATGGAATTAGTCCTGATATTTCAAATGTTTGTTTAATCTGACAGTTTTAGCAAGATACCAAAAAGGCCATGTGTTTTGCTCATCGTTGGGCTTGTGTTTCATTTTAGTGCCATGTCTTCTTAATTGTGCAGTCCATTAAGTTTACGACCCAGCTTTGTGTGTTCCTTAATAACTTAGTGTGAGCTTGGTTTTTAATATGAACTGAGTTGGTGTATAATTTTCATGTCACAGAACATATGAGCCAGTTCAGCTCTGAACTGAATTTTCATGAGCAAGTTTAGCTCTCTTAAATGACATTAAATATTAAAGATTTAGCAATGTTTTGTCCAGTAAGTGATTTTTTTTTAGTTATCAGTGATAGTTTTATTAGTTTTAAAATTAAATTAGTTTTAATTTTATACAATAAAATCAGTATGTATTTTCGTGTGTATTGATACTATATGATTATTATACTGTAGAGCAGTCCAGCTTTTCAAGTTCTGTTTTATTCCAACAGTTTTATTCCAACCATGCTATAAAAGGAAAGTCACACTAGACGTTGTGTTCTTCCATTCATACCCATGTGAATGTAAGCATATGAATAGGATTTTGTGTATTAAAGTTCAAGTTTTGTGAACTCTGCCCTACAAATTTGGTTAGTTGAAACAGATTTGATCTAAGCATTAAAGTTTGACCTCATCACTTAATATTACAATTTTAAACCATCATAGTTTACAGTGGGGAAAGTGGAGTAGATTTTTTTATTTATAATCTATAGTAATACATTTAAAAAGATATATATACACACACACACACACTAAAAAAAAAGCTATGAGCTACAAGCTTTGCGAGAAGCTGTTTGGAGAGTCAGGTGTCCATGCCATCCATGTGACGTCACAGTGCTGTGGTGTTAATTTTCAATAAATTGAAAAGATCAAAAGATTACTCATGAAATTATTATTATTTTTTTTAATCTAGCTTGACTACCTTTAGTGTATTTTGTAAGCTGAAAGATTCTCATTATGTGTGGGAGTTAAAACTTAACTCTGGAGAAAGGTAGATAAAAAAATAAAATAGTATATTATTATTTCCTTGTACGCAATTTGCACTGGTCAAGATGCTCAATGTTGTGATGCAGGTCCAGTCACAGGAACAGCATCGGGCAAGTTCCAACTCCTCAAAAAGCCTGGCTGCAGTGGTGGCACGGCTGGAGAGGAACGCTGTCAACTCATGCACAGAGGGAGAGGAGCTGGACAAACTCACAACAGAGGAAGAGGAAGAGCAGGATGAGGCCGTGGTGCCTCGTGTCCTATACGAGGAGCTGGTGCACAGCTACAGGCAGCAGGAAGAGGAAATGAGACGCCTGCAGCAGGAGCTGGAGCGCACACGCAGGCAGCTGCTCCAACAGGCCAAGAAGCTCAAGGAGTATGGCAGTCTGCTGACCGAAGTCAAGGAGCTGCGTGATTTCAATCGACGCCTGCAGGACGTCCTGCTCGTGAGGCTTGGCAGCGGTGAGATTTGCATGAATCATACATATCGGCAGATCAATGCTGATTCAACGAAACAGTATGCAAATGTAAAATATTTTCACCAAAATCATTGAACAGATCTGTTCAAATCTGATTCAGAATTTTGATTGTTCTCTGAATCATAGAAGTTCAGTGTTTTGATTAAAACCTAAACCCTTAAAATGCATCTGTATTGTAAATTCATACTGAACAGGCCTTGACATTGATTTTCTGATTAGTATAGTCAGGACTATCCATTTGAAAATGCTTGCTTTACAATGCAATTTTGCTGGTTAGCATTTTTTAAGGCTTCATAGAGCTGTTTTTACACTTAGTACAAAAGCAGCAATTCCTTGTCAGCTTTAAGTAGGCAATAGTGAGTGACATATTTAGTGTCCAGTTCACTGAAGACAAGATCTAGGACTTACTACATCTTCAGACAGCAATTTAAATGTGCTCTTGTGTAATTTCTAGGGCTGTCAGTCAATTAAAGTGTTCATCATTTGATTAATTTGATAATTATTTAGCATAGCAAGTACTTAATATTCAGCATATCAAGTCATTAATTATGTCATGTAATTATGGTATTAATTAACTTAATCAAATTAATCGCATGCATCAATATTTGCTGAGGATAGCCTCCAAATGAAGATAATTCGTAGCCATTATATCATTGCGGATGAAAACGTTGAATAGACTTTACAAAAAGTGAGTTTAGTCAATATATTGTATTATATTGTAATTTCATATTATTAAATATAAGTCTATCCTCCTGCAGTCCACAGCAATCCATTTTGCAATCTACAAGACTATTTTTTGTGCATGTAAAAATGCTAGACTGTCTTTGGCCATTGCATTTATTGTTTTTTTTTTTAGCATCTCTATAATTAATTGTACTAAATTAGCATGTTAAATTGGCAGCCCTGATAATTTAATGATTTTGATGTTATCGTTACATTTTCCACATTGTTCTGAGCTGCAGGGACTGATAAACCACTCAGATGAAGACTACAATACAGGCTGCTTAAAGAGGACATAGTGTTCAGAAAGCTCAGGCCTGTGTGTGTGTGGGGGGTGTGCGAAACAGACTGTGGTCTGGAGCGAGCTGGTGGAGCAGGCTGAAGATTAGACCGTCCAGGGTTCTTTAGGGTCAGACGTGCAGTGCACTGACCGATATTAAAACTCAACAGATACATTAGAGCTTAGTGCGGCCAGCTTACTGAGCTAAAATGACCCGGTTGTCTTGAGGCATGGGAGAGCCATGTTTCAGGCAGCGCTCCAAAGGGAGCGGGGGTCAGGACTTACTACGGCCACACTGGACTGATTTCAAAACTGTCATTAGAGAGAGGGGAACGTCTGCCGTCAACACTTTCTTAGGATTACGCTCATCTTTCTTCTGTTAAATTGTGCTTCACTGAACAGTGAGCAGTGTTTTGCTTTGCTTCATACAGAGCCGATGCACGACAATGGCACACAGACAATCAAAGCAGAGGTGGTGGAGCCGGTCAGTGAACCACAGGAGGTGTGTCAAGAGGAAGCAAACACTAGCTCCACCCACTCCCCATCCCCGAGAACCGTCTACACCTTCAATGATGGAAAAGTATGTAATTCTGTGTGTGTTTTTAATGTCTTTTCAATTTTCAGTTTTTCTGATTCTTAAACAACCCATAAAGTCATGACGCCCAATCTCACTTTAGTCTAGCCTTTTTAGCAGAAAAGCAGCCCATACACTACCATTTAAAAGTTTGCAGTCAGTATGTTTTTAGTTGTTTTTGAAAGAAATTAATACTTCTATTCACCAAAGATGCGTTAAGTTGATCAAAAGTGACAGTTAAGATTTTTAAGAAATCTTACAAAAGATGTCTCTTTAAAATGTATGCTGTTCTTTTAAACATTCTATACATTAAAGAGTCAGGAAAAAAAGATATCACATTTTCACTATAATAAGCAGCACAGCTGTTTTCAACATCTTACTGAACTTTTGAACGGTATTATATGTATGTATAAACTTACACCTCATTGTATTTATTTATTAAATAACGGCGTGTCAATTGTGATGAGACCTTCCAAAGTTATGGTCATCGTTGATATTTACTTGATCGATACAGGCATTATTCACGGCTATCATGACTTGACTTTGGTCATTAGTTCAAAACAGACAGTATTCCAGCCACTCTTGTTGTATAAACAAGACAATTCAGTGGTTCGGATGCTCCTCATGTTAGCGCAATTCAGTGTTTCTTTTAATGTTTTGCAGTGGTTTGGTTTGTCTAATTGACTAGCGAAATCCTTTCTACAACCTCCCCCCCCCCCATCAGTCTCAAAGGACCTTTTAACCAGAATGCTTGCTGTGATTTTGAGCCCTGTTAGCAGACATCGGGTCCACGTTTTGCGTTCCTCCGCCTGCCTTGCATGACAGGGGGGGATTTGTGTTACATGCTGAAAGGGTTCTCAGTTCAAGCGTGAAGAACAAAAGCAAATTAGGCCCACATACGCACACATATCCGGCATTAATTATTTGTACCACAGGAATTGCCCTGAGTGACAGGTAGCCATAGAAAAGCAAATCTAAGTTAAGAGCAGCGAAAAGCTTGTCTGCTGGACCAGGGCCTAAAGCACATTAGTTGCATTGGGGAAAAGCTGATGGATCTGAGCCTGAAGACTGCTCAGGGTGACAAAGCAGAAGGCACAATACCTCAGCTGTTACTCACCAGCTGCCCATCAGTCCACCTGATGGCTTGTTGGGCTGTGTCCTCCACAGTGTGGCTTAAAAGTCAACACTCTCGTCTGGCATCTGTCAAAACACATTACTGCATTTAATGAACCCAGACACCTCGCCGCTGAATTTATGTGTGACACGTTTCTCATATGTGGTTGTTGGTACCTAGCACTCAAAGGGTATGCGGCAGGGTTTTAGTGTCGTTGCATACCACAAAACACAAAAAAAACACCAGGACCTTCACTGGACAGGGTTCCTGCAGTCATGGATAATTTGTCAAAAGTAATTTCTATAATGATTATATATTTTCTAGTTATGCTTTGTGCTAAAATATTTCATCAGATAATTATTGCTCTTGAGTAGTAAAACTTGGCTTGCAAGCATCTATAAAAGGTCATGGATATTCATTGGTCAAAAGTTGTATTTTTATATATTTTTTTTATAATAATAATAATAGGGATCATGAAAATTTATTTAGTTTTTTTTATTTAGTATTACCTTGATAAAGACCTTGTGATATAACATATATTTATATATATTTAAAAAATAATCACAGATTTTTTGAACAGTGGAAGGGACGCTGGGAGGTCCCAAGGTGCCGACTTTGAAGGGGACTGCGGCGTTATTGTCCTATTTACAATGTTTCTTGTTATCTTGTGTCTTCTTTGATAAATGTCTCTATTTTTCATATTATATATATATATAGGATCAGCAAGGTTTATGTAAACTTGTAGGCACAACTGTACAACATCCAACGCAAACTGCTGTTAACAAGCTTGAATCTGAATTAACACATAGAATGTTGCATTTCATCCTCCATAAACAGAGCTGTTTTATTCATTGTGAAGGGAAAGCTACCATGTCTCAGACACAAAGCAAAATATTGTCTGTGATAGTTTGTATATTAGGCATATTTGAAGAAGAGTGTGTCTCCTGCAGATGCACTTGGGTGGAGGGATTTGGGTGGAGGAGGAGAAGTGGCACCAGCTACAGCGGACACAGGGAGACTCGAAATTCACCAAAAACCTGGCGGTGATGATCTGGGGCACGGAAACCCTGAAGAACCGCAGCGTGACTGGCATCGCTACGAAGAAGAAGAAAGATGCCCTGCCCAAACCACCGCTCTCACCAAGCAAGCTCAAAATTGTTAGAGGTAAACACACTAACTTTAAAAATAATTGTTATTCAAATTAAATGAAAGATTAGGTTGGGGTTATATTTCTGGTTTTGCTAATAGAAGTTTTATAATTTGAAGAATTGTTATTGTTGAACGAATTTTAGCTTCCAGAACCGGTAACGATTTCAATATCACAGCAGCAAATAATGTGGTATTTAAATAAGTTGAACTTAAATATTTTTAAAATGCAAACAAAAAACCTTAAATTAGAAGCAAAAACAAGATGGGCAAGGAAAAAAATTCTGTTTTCTTTGCTAATTTCTAGTCTAATATTTCGTTCCAGAGTGTCTGTATGATCGTGTGTCTCAAGAAACAGCTGACAGCGCGGAGATCACCCAGCGATTATCCAAAGTGAACAAATACATCTGCGAAAAGATCATGGATATCAACAAATCTATCAAGAACGAGGAACGACGAGAGTCCAAGCTTCTCATCCAGCAGACGGTGAAGATGGAGAACTTCCCCTACGACAGTCTGTAGGGGGCGATGAAGTTGTCACCATAGCTCATTCTACTCCTCAAGGACTTCTGGTGAACAAGGTGCACGTAATCACCGGCGCTGCCAATTGAGATTTCCACTGATGCCCTCCCAAGACCTCTCTGTCTTTTACTCTCGTAGACCCTGTTTTACAGCCTGTCTGACAGTTTTACCTCTCTCCGCACTGCCTTAGCATGCTGGTGTGCATTCTGTGAGTGAATGGGGTGGGTTTTTGTAAGCTTTAATGGGGGATCTCGGGGTGGGTCGGATATTATGCCTGATAGACAGGAGCGATCCTTTAAATCGTGTGAGAGAAAAATGTGTTTGGCACATCAGCTTGTGTTCTGTGTCAGAACATGTCCTAATGTACTAAAGAGGTTTCCCTTCTGAAAAGTCTTCTTGTTTCAGGAGGATGTTTGCGAGGTGTCATAAATGCTGGCTTATGCCGAGTTCACACTGCACGATATTAGCCCAATTTTTCACTCGCCGACAGGTTTTGCGAAATCACCGACAAATGCCCGACATCGGAGGCAAATCGGTGCTCGTTCACGCGAGTGACAGTCACGCAGTGTGAAAACAACGGCGATCCGACGAGTTTGAAAATCATGCAGTGTGAACTCGGCATTAGTGTCGGAGTCTTGAGGGGGGGTAGGTCACTTCACAGGGACCATCTGCTAAAGGTACTTAACATAAGTTAAGAGTTGCACTTTTAAACAGGGTCACACTCTGCGTCGTCTTAATGAACGATTGATTTAATTAATCAATCTAGGCCTAATTGCTCCCGTTAATTGCTTTCCTGAGATGACTACTGATGGTCTGTTCTTGTTCTTGATCGTTGTTAGGGGTGGAAAGGTCACATGTAGTCAGTGGTGCTAAACAGTTGTCCTGTAAGATGAATTAGCAGCGTTTCTTTGGAGGTAAGCCACAAAAAGGTGATCAAATTGCTCTTAAAAGTTAAATTTAGACTTTTTACGATCATCAGTAGACTTCTTATGTTTGCTTTAGGCTATGCCTTCAAGTCCTGTTGGGAAATCCCTGTGGTGTAGACATTGTAATTACGATGACGTGTTTTCAAGTCACTTACACTACTGTTCAAAAGTTTGGAGTCAGTAAGATTTTTTTCCTTTTTTATGTTTTTAAAAGAAAATACAGTAAAAACGGTAAATTTGTGAAATATTATTACAATTTAAAATGACTGTTTTCTATTTTAATACATTTTAAAATGTCGTTTATTCCTGTGATGGCAGAGCTGAATTTTCAGCAGCCATTACTCCAGTCTTCAGTGTCACATGAGCCCTGAGAAATCATTCTAATATGGTGATTGGTTGCTCAAGAAACAATTTCTACTGTTAACAATATTGAAAACAATTGTGAAACTTAATATTTTTGTGTGAGCTGTGATACATTTTTTCAGGGTTTATTGAGGAATAAAAAGTTTTTACAAATCTACATCTATTTAAAATATAAATATTTTTGCTGAATAAAAGTATTTATTACTTTAAAAAAAAAAAAATCTTACTGACCTTTTGAATGCATTGGGTAAAATTTGGGGCCTGAAGAAAATGCCTCCAGTAATTCAAATACACTTTATAAATAAATTTTGTCTGATTCAACTCTGAAGAAAGTATTTTAATGCCATATTTTGAAATATACATAAATTCTTATTATTGGAGATGTCTTGTGTACAAAAGCACCAGAACAATGCAGTAAAAATGACGTAAAGTATCAAATAAGATTCTTGTAAACAACAAGAGCATGTCCAATTTGATTTCAGTGTACTTGATGGACTAGCCATGGGACAGGAGTTATTGTATTATCGGGTCTACAGAGCTGGAGACCACCTAAGACCTTTTACCAGCCGTAAATTGCACTTGGGACGGAGGGTAAGTGGAAATCAGAGCTGGGCTGCAGGGCCTTTTTCCAGCTGGCAATCATTGGGAACTGTGTTCTCCGTTTTATAGCAAGCTGTGATTGTAATTTGAGCTGATATTGCGTTAACTGCACTTTGGTGTGAGTGTGGAGAGATGCCAGGCGCCATGTGTGGATGTGGGGTAAAACTGTCAGCAGTGCTCGGGAGTTACACATTAGCCTCATCCTTCTGGGCTTACCAACAGCAGGGTCTCAACTTCAACCCACCTGTAGAGGGTGCACTCATTAGGGGAGGAAATAAGGTATCGTGACAACTTAAAATGAGCCATGCCATCCACACTTTAGTCCTTTGCCATCTTTATTTTCATCACAAACCGTTTAGAAATAAAGACCCTCTTGCAGATTTGGGTTCTTGACTGTGATGCCATATCGCTTACTGTGAATTAACCACAAATCTGCCTCGCAAAAGCCTCCCTACTTCTTATTTTCTCTCTTTTTTTAAAAATCAAGTACATTTATTAGTGGGGAGAAAATTTCAGTGTATATTTGGAATATATTCTCATGTTTATGAACATTTCATCGTTTGCATCCAGGCTGCACCTTATCTCACTAAGCTGGTTCAAAACCGAGTCAGACAATGTTGTAATTCTGTCTTTATCTTTGCTGGTTCATATATAGTTTATTATCATTTCTACTTTTACAGTGTATATGTGACGTTTCGATATTAACGTAGATCCTGGGTACTCATATTTCTCAAAGAATGCAGGGCTCTTCACGAATACATCATCTCTAATGACAGAAACCCATATCTTAAATTGATACTATCATGGATTTTTTTACCGCAGGTATCTCGATGCTTCAAGAACTTCAATTTATAAATTTCACCTCACTGTGAGTCATTTGTTATGGACTATCATTTCATTTGGAGTCATTTCCGTCGAGAGGCAGCCGTCGCCCGCCTTTCCGTTCCGAGGAAGTCATTGTCCATCTTTGACAGCGTAGCACTTTAATCCTAAGGAGAAAAAAAAAAGTATAAAAATCCATCAATGTTGGCTTCTTTGTTGTGATTTACCCAAGCCAATTTAAAAAAAGAAGTCAACATAAACATTTAACAATGCTTGTGAAAAGACATTCACAAGAAAACCTGAATCAGCTATCAGTTTTCTGCCACTCAATAGCAGTTTAGCAGCCATTTGTTTCTCATTCTCTTGAGCATGTGAAAGCGACTCCTTTTTTTCTTTCTTACAGCGACGTACCTCCAATATGTCAAGGCAATTACGAGAGAGGACAGATTGTAATAAGGTTCTTTTGTTCCACTGAAAGTCTTTCTCTTCTTTTTTTTCCTGTAGATATTTCCTGTATTGTTTGATATGTATTGCCACACTTATTGAATATTTGATGTTCCATAATGAGCGTACATACTGTGTGGGTATACTTGAAAATGACAGTTTTAGGTGTGCAGAGGTTGAATGATAGCAAAACTTTATCATCGGTCCATGTGGTCATACTTTTTATGTGGAGATTTACTAGTGGAATCGTTGCCTTGAAAAAGACTACAGCGTTATGTATTGCTCTTTTGTTTTTGTTTTTTTGTTGTTTTGCCTCGCAGCTGCTCCGAGACTAAATTCGGGCACGGAGCTGTTGAGATCCGAGGAAAATTAAAAATTAAAAGTTTCTACAGTTGTGAGATCAAACCAGTGAATCCCATCAGGGAAAATCCGACTTTTAAATACAATCATGTACAGTATTTATAGGCTAAAAGGCTACAAAAGCGAAGCAGTAGCCTCGCAGAGGCTGTGTTTTTCTCTTCTGGGAGACTGTGGTGAGGCTGGTGCCTATGCTTTCAGTGGCTGTGTAATAGCGGTGCTTAGCTTTGAGCTGGTCTCTGCCTGTGGAAAACGGCAAGTCCGGTGCAAAGCACATGAGGGATCAACATATCATCTGAGTTGTTCTCTGCGTATTGTCCAAGAGATGTTTTGTTGTGTCAAATGAGTTTCGTCCAGTCTGAATGTGTGTTGGGGGTTTGTGTCGTTCTGTTGAAAATAAGCCAAAGTGGAATCTCTGCAATGGACAGTTTTTGATATAAGTCTTATAAGTATGAACTTGCACAAAAACAGCCCCTGCTAAGGTTGTCCACAGTTATCTAAGCTAAACCAACAGGAAAGAAACAGCCGGAATATATTTTTACTGATTTTACAAGGTGTTGCTGTGCTGTTGACATCTTCGTTGTCTGATTTGTTGTTTTCTGTTCTGTATCAAAAGAGAATTAAGCTTTAGATAATGGATATGACTATATTGTTCAGATTGAAAAATCTTAATTTTTTTTTTTTGTGTGTGTGTATTTCTTTATGATGCCAAAAAAGTAGTGTGCGGACGTTCTTGGGGGAGAAAAAAAGTTAGTATTGCTTCGGTCTGCTTCACTAACCTACATTCTGAGGTTGTCAAATGCAGTTTGAATCCCCCTGTCGCCGATCCATCGTGCAGTGTGACCACAGCAGTAACTGAATGCTACCCCAGATAGTCACGCAGTGTGAAAACAACGGCGATCCGACGAGTTTGAAAATCATGCAGTGTGAACTCGGCATTAGTGTCGGAGTCTTGAGGGGGGGTAGGTCACTTCACAGGGACCATCTGCTAAAGGTACTTAACATAAGTTAAGAGTTGCACTTTTAAACAGGGTCACACTCTGCGTCGTCTTAATGAACGATTGATTTAATTAATCAATCTAGGCCTAATTGCTCCCGTTAATTGCTTTCCTGAGATGACTACTGATGGTCTGTTCTTGTTCTTGATCGTTGTTAGGGGTGGAAAGGTCACATGTAGTCAGTGGTGCTAAACAGTTGTCCTGTAAGATGAATTAGCAGCGTTTCTTTGGAGGTAAGCCACAAAAAGGTGATCAAATTGCTCTTAAAAGTTAAATTTAGACTTTTTACGATCATCAGTAGACTTCTTATGTTTGCTTTAGGCTATGCCTTCAAGTCCTGTTGGGAAATCCCTGTGGTGTAGACATTGTAATTACGATGACGTGTTTTCAAGTCACTTACACTACTGTTCAAAAGTTTGGAGTCAGTAAGATTTTTTTCCTTTTTTATGTTTTTAAAAGAAAATACAGTAAAAACGGTAAATTTGTGAAATATTATTACAATTTAAAATGACTGTTTTCTATTTTAATACATTTTAAAATGTCGTTTATTCCTGTGATGGCAGAGCTGAATTTTCAGCAGCCATTACTCCAGTCTTCAGTGTCACATGAGCCCTGAGAAATCATTCTAATATGGTGATTGGTTGCTCAAGAAACAATTTCTACTGTTAACAATATTGAAAACAATTGTGAAACTTAATATTTTTGTGTGAGCTGTGATACATTTTTTCAGGGTTTATTGAGGAATAAAAAGTTTTTACAAATCTACATCTATTTAAAATATAAATATTTTTGCTGAATAAAAGTATTTATTACTTTAAAAAAAAAAAAATCTTACTGACCTTTTGAATGCATTGGGTAAAATTTGGGGCCTGAAGAAAATGCCTCCAGTAATTCAAATACACTTTATAAATAAATTTTGTCTGATTCAACTCTGAAGAAAGTATTTTAATGCCATATTTTGAAATATACATAAATTCTTATTATTGGAGATGTCTTGTGTACAAAAGCACCAGAACAATGCAGTAAAAATGACGTAAAGTATCAAATAAGATTCTTGTAAACAACAAGAGCATGTCCAATTTGATTTCAGTGTACTTGATGGACTAGCCATGGGACAGGAGTTATTGTATTATCGGGTCTACAGAGCTGGAGACCACCTAAGACCTTTTACCAGCCGTAAATTGCACTTGGGACGGAGGGTAAGTGGAAATCAGAGCTGGGCTGCAGGGCCTTTTTCCAGCTGGCAATCATTGGGAACTGTGTTCTCCGTTTTATAGCAAGCTGTGATTGTAATTTGAGCTGATATTGCGTTAACTGCACTTTGGTGTGAGTGTGGAGAGATGCCAGGCGCCATGTGTGGATGTGGGGTAAAACTGTCAGCAGTGCTCGGGAGTTACACATTAGCCTCATCCTTCTGGGCTTACCAACAGCAGGGTCTCAACTTCAACCCACCTGTAGAGGGTGCACTCATTAGGGGAGGAAATAAGGTATCGTGACAACTTAAAATGAGCCATGCCATCCACACTTTAGTCCTTTGCCATCTTTATTTTCATCACAAACCGTTTAGAAATAAAGACCCTCTTGCAGATTTGGGTTCTTGACTGTGATGCCATATCGCTTACTGTGAATTAACCACAAATCTGCCTCGCAAAAGCCTCCCTACTTCTTATTTTCTCTCTTTTTTTAAAAATCAAGTACATTTATTAGTGGGGAGAAAATTTCAGTGTATATTTGGAATATATTCTCATGTTTATGAACATTTCATCGTTTGCATCCAGGCTGCACCTTATCTCACTAAGCTGGTTCAAAACCGAGTCAGACAATGTTGTAATTCTGTCTTTATCTTTGCTGGTTCATATATAGTTTATTATCATTTCTACTTTTACAGTGTATATGTGACGTTTCGATATTAACGTAGATCCTGGGTACTCATATTTCTCAAAGAATGCAGGGCTCTTCACGAATACATCATCTCTAATGACAGAAACCCATATCTTAAATTGATACTATCATGGATTTTTTTACCGCAGGTATCTCGATGCTTCAAGAACTTCAATTTATAAATTTCACCTCACTGTGAGTCATTTGTTATGGACTATCATTTCATTTGGAGTCATTTCCGTCGAGAGGCAGCCGTCGCCCGCCTTTCCGTTCCGAGGAAGTCATTGTCCATCTTTGACAGCGTAGCACTTTAATCCTAAGGAGAAAAAAAAAAGTATAAAAATCCATCAATGTTGGCTTCTTTGTTGTGATTTACCCAAGCCAATTTAAAAAAAGAAGTCAACATAAACATTTAACAATGCTTGTGAAAAGACATTCACAAGAAAACCTGAATCAGCTATCAGTTTTCTGCCACTCAATAGCAGTTTAGCAGCCATTTGTTTCTCATTCTCTTGAGCATGTGAAAGCGACTCCTTTTTTTCTTTCTTACAGCGACGTACCTCCAATATGTCAAGGCAATTACGAGAGAGGACAGATTGTAATAAGGTTCTTTTGTTCCACTGAAAGTCTTTCTCTTCTTTTTTTTCCTGTAGATATTTCCTGTATTGTTTGATATGTATTGCCACACTTATTGAATATTTGATGTTCCATAATGAGCGTACATACTGTGTGGGTATACTTGAAAATGACAGTTTTAGGTGTGCAGAGGTTGAATGATAGCAAAACTTTATCATCGGTCCATGTGGTCATACTTTTTATGTGGAGATTTACTAGTGGAATCGTTGCCTTGAAAAAGACTACAGCGTTATGTATTGCTCTTTTGTTTTTGTTTTTTTGTTGTTTTGCCTCGCAGCTGCTCCGAGACTAAATTCGGGCACGGAGCTGTTGAGATCCGAGGAAAATTAAAAATTAAAAGTTTCTACAGTTGTGAGATCAAACCAGTGAATCCCATCAGGGAAAATCCGACTTTTAAATACAATCATGTACAGTATTTATAGGCTAAAAGGCTACAAAAGCGAAGCAGTAGCCTCGCAGAGGCTGTGTTTTTCTCTTCTGGGAGACTGTGGTGAGGCTGGTGCCTATGCTTTCAGTGGCTGTGTAATAGCGGTGCTTAGCTTTGAGCTGGTCTCTGCCTGTGGAAAACGGCAAGTCCGGTGCAAAGCACATGAGGGATCAACATATCATCTGAGTTGTTCTCTGCGTATTGTCCAAGAGATGTTTTGTTGTGTCAAATGAGTTTCGTCCAGTCTGAATGTGTGTTGGGGGTTTGTGTCGTTCTGTTGAAAATAAGCCAAAGTGGAATCTCTGCAATGGACAGTTTTTGATATAAGTCTTATAAGTATGAACTTGCACAAAAACAGCCCCTGCTAAGGTTGTCCACAGTTATCTAAGCTAAACCAACAGGAAAGAAACAGCCGGAATATATTTTTACTGATTTTACAAGGTGTTGCTGTGCTGTTGACATCTTCGTTGTCTGATTTGTTGTTTTCTGTTCTGTATCAAAAGAGAATTAAGCTTTAGATAATGGATATGACTATATTGTTCAGATTGAAAAATCTTAATTTTTTTTTTTTGTGTGTGTGTATTTCTTTATGATGCCAAAAAAGTAGTGTGCGGACGTTCTTGGGGGAGAAAAAAAGTTAGTATTGCTTCGGTCTGCTTCACTAACCTACATTCTGAGGTTGTCAATCAAATGCTGAGGACCTGCCCACATGCCACAGCAATTCCAAAAACTGCCCAGTATTCCGCTATAACAAGAACGGCAACTTCCTGTTGCTTTTTCACTTTTTTCATGATCACAGTTACAATAAAGAACCCTACTCAGAGTCAGTCTTATTTAACAAACTCTTCTCAGCTCTACTAGTGAAAGAAATGTATTTTTGATACAATACAAGTTCAGGTTATTCTTAGTCTGAAAACAAGCATGTAGAGTCACAGTCCTACCTCATTGCTGCTCATCGTCTGTGTTCCTAAGACAGTCTCATCACCCTCGTACCTCATTCAGATATATATGTATAGATATATATATATATATATATATATATATCAGTCTGTATGGTATAGATTCATTTCAGATATTGTATTTTACTCCCTTAACAACTGTGTTAATGTTTCTGTGGCAGTAGATAGTGTTTCCTTGCAGTAATTACATTTTTATCCCATTGATGGTGCTACAGCAGGCATGGGTTGTCTAATATGTGTTATTTACCTCAGATGGTGCTAATTTTTCTACTTTTCTGGAGGTCGTTCCGCTTTGCATGAATAAAACTGGCTAATGTTAATTTCCTAGCAGCAGGAATTTGGGGATAAAAATAAAGCATCAGATAAAATCTTAGGAATTGCATCCGGCATGTCGTAAAAATTTAGTTTTTCATATTTCGAATAAGACATACCTCTCTAACAAATTACCTCACATACTCTAAATTAACAGACTATTAAAACTGTGCACGCAGGATCTATCCATGGCCATATAACCTTGTCTTTATTGTACAATACAAACCTAATGCTGGAGTAAGAAACCTGATAATCCAAACCATCTACCTAAATATTACTGGGCAGTTGACTCTCACAACGTGGTCCTCGGCAGTTAATGTGAAAGTCAATCCCACTGTAGAAATACAGTGCAACTAACATGGTAGTCTTACTTTTGGTGGTGGTGGTGGTGATGATATTTTGCAGTATGTTAACTGTAGAGGGTTTTCTTAACTTACCAAAGTTGTTCCCTCTCAAAGAAACTCTTTGTTGTTGTCGTTAAGAACTGTTTGGGAACAAAGTCTCCAATTTGCGTTTCAGTCCAGCGAAAACTGTCTCAGAAATATGGGTGCGTTGAGCGACTGCCGCTCAGCGGAACGTAAATTAGTCCATCCACAAAAATACAATCAGTCGTGGGTATCGGTGACATTTTTTATTCATACAGACAGTTAATTCATTTAGAGCATGTAACATGACAACTGAAGGCAAACTGTGATTTTGTTTGCGAACGCTTTCCTGTCGAGACGTTTTTGATAGTTCTGCGTCATGTGAAGCAAATATGTCATGGGCTTCATGAACTGACCTCAAGACCAGACAGTGAGTTCAGAAATTGATCGTATTGCATTTAAATCGGAACATTTTGCATTTTCATTTAACTTTTTGTGTCTTTATCATGTCTGTCATCTCTTCATTCTTGCTGCTAAATAAATATCTAGAAACCTATATATATATATATATATATATGTATGTATGTATGTATTAATCAATATTTTTCGGGAAAGTCATTGATGGGGAATGTCGGATGAAATAACTGTGAACATGCTCTCTTTCAGGTCTGCATTTGTGGGTATTTTCTTTTGATATGGTCACATACTGGTTAGCATTGATTTTACCACAGAGTCAGCAAGGGCTGCTGTCAGGGGGATCTTCCTTCTCACATCAGTCCCTGTTCCCCATACGTTAGGTCTGCTTTACTTGCACACAGATCAAGCCCAAGCCTGGACTAAAATGACTCTCAGTGGAGAATTTTTATTCTTGTATGTTGTTAGGCTGAACCTGGCTTAATTTCAGCTAAACTTGGCCTCGCTGCACCTTGAGTCTGACTCTACGGGGACTCAAACAGAGAACAAGGATAGAAAGACAATGGAAAGCGAAATCAAATGTTTCCACGTGAACCAGTTGCACTCCTCACCTGTGCACAGCTGGTTTTGCCGGTGAACATCAGTCGTGTGTGTGTGTGTGTGTGTGTGTGCTGCAGTCTGAGTACTCTTGTTCAATGTACAGATCAACAGAATAAATTCAGAGTTTTATTCTACAAACAAACCCTCTCGGTGTGAGCTGTTTTCTTTTTCACAAAAAAAAAAAAA